TTATACCCTCTTAAATGGAAAGTAATAAAAATGGATACCTTATATCTCATCTTTGAATCAATTTATTACTCTGAAAGGTAAGTTACAAATGTTAATGATTGAAGTGTTTCCTAAATTACAGGAAGAAGTGTAGAGTGGCAGTTTTGCAAATGTTATCTGGAAAGAAAATGCTCCCAAAATATTCAATAAGTAATCAAAAAATTAACAAAATACACTTCGGTCCTTCTAGTCCTTCAAATTTCAGGCCTGGGATTTAACCCAGTGGTTCTGCGACCTGCCTCACAAGTGCAAGGTCCTGAGTTCGATCCCTGGCACAAAACAAAAAAAAAAAAAAAGGGTTTCTTTATGAAGAAATACAAAAAAAAAACAACAAAAAGACTGGCCATATCCTGTCCCAGTGATTTGTGATTAGTTTATTCCATCATTCGTTTAATAAATACTTACTGCCTTTACAGCTACACATCCTGCCAAATATGGAAATGAGATGATCGAGGTGACAGTTTTGAAAAAGAACAGTCCTTTGTCCAGAATTTGTTAGAATCTCCCTCCTGCATTACTGAGAGAAGACTCGCTCACTGGCTAGCAGGCACATACCTGGGTCTGCACTTGTTAGGATCAATTGAGACAGCGTGTGGCTAAGGCTTACTTTTTTTATTATTATTATACTCACTGTTCTTACATTCAGTTAGTTTTCCAAAACGTTCTGTTTACTGGAAAGATACTGTGTGACCAGCGTGTACAGCTGTGTTCCAGTCTGCATGATGGTTATAGCTCTTAGAATAGAGAAAATTACAATTCTGTCTTTTACATCAGTATTTCATGAGCTGAATTATGATGGATCATCCCCAGGGTCATTCCTGAGAAAAGTAAAACTAATTTTTCAAAGTGAATTTTTTAATTTGCAAAATTGGACATTGGGCTGTGGTCTCAGAATAAACCTACCAATACGCTGACATCCTTGAGATTTAGCTTCAGCCTCTCCAGTCTGTGTCTTAACACTATTACTATGACTCAGACATGTCAGTTTTAAACTGTATTGGTTGGTTTAATTAATTTAATGGATTTATCAATTTAATATTAATAATTTAGCCAATAAGCTGGTTTGTTCATAATTTAAATCAATAAAACTGAATTTAAATTAGTTGAGTTTGAACTGTATTCATTAACTGGAGATATTTATCAAAAGCAATTGAGTATAACATGGAACCTAACAACCAGATTAAATATTTGGAAGCATTTCTTGGGGAACAGTATGAGACATGTGCTATGTTGTCACAGCATACAGAATTGAGATCTACAGGTGGAAAATACAGGAAGACACATGAGAAGAGCTTTTCTAAGCACAAAGTGTTAATAAGTATTTGTTGGGAACTGAATTCCTGGTCACTGAAGGCATCTGTTATTAGCCAGACTGTGAGGCTGAAGCCACAGAGGGACCGCAATGTGGCTTAGCTCCACCATCCTCAAGAATCTAGGGCTCCGACTGGCTGCAGAGGCTGAGGGCCCTGAATCTGTGGCCCAGAGCCCACATCTCTGTGTTAGCCTTGAAGGTACGCGCTGCCTAGGCTGCCAGCCTCAGGAAAATGTGGGCATGGAAGTGGGCCTCCATTGAGACGAAACAAAACTGTTAGCTCCTCAGAGCAGGTTGAGCTGCCCCTGTGAAAGAACAGCTTCCTAACTGGTGAATTCATAATGAAAGACATTGCATGGCTAATGATTATAATGAAGCAGGTGTGTTAAATCCTTATCTGAGTGCTTGGCTTCCAGCTCACTAGTAGGATGGAATTAAGTTACCAAACTTAAGAAAATGAAAATCACAGCTGGATTTTCTGCTTAAGAATATTAACTGTTTGCTCATAAACAAATTCAAGCAATGCTGAAAGACAGAAGCTGCACCCTTCCTGTTGAACCTAGAGAAGACAGGAGTAGAATGATTTTATTTTCCTGAGATCACTTTTTCCTCTGAAAGCCCAGGAAAATATTGAGGAAATGGGTTCAAGAGATCCAGGGCTTTCAGGACTAGCGCTAGATTATTGCCAAGAAGTAGAGTATAGAGTATGAAGGAGCTTTTATTCTGAAGCTACTTATTCTGGGAGATAAGCAGAAGAGAGGGATCTTATTTTGATAGAAATAGAATTATTAATACTTTAGGAAGACTTGTAGGTTCTCATTGCCAATTTCTAAATAATTATTTTGTACTTTTAAGAAAACACTTGCTATGTGAAGTATATGTTACCTTCTTTCTATACAACAAAAGGAAAAGAGGTTTTTAAGAGAAAGAATAAGCTGGGACTTGTAAACTGCAAGCCTATACTTTATCACAGCTTTTGCCTTGGTAAGAGAGAGTGTATTAACAATTTATCTTGTATGACAAGAAACAAAAGCTCCAAACTGAAAGAGAGGCTAAGGAAAATGAGTTTGCAAAGTCATAGTGCTGGGAACTCAGCCAACAACTTCACAGTTGATAAAGATTATATTTGGAAATTAGTGTGAAATGCAGAAAAACAACCTTTGCAAAAGTCAATAGGACATCCAAAATGTCTCAGGTAATATGTAGAGACTGGTTTATAGTGTTACCAAGACAGTAAGACACCGAAGTCTAGGTAATTTTTGTTTTCACAGAAATCAAAAGATAGCCCCTATGTATGTATCAAGTGTTAAATTCCAGGAACCAATAAATATTCACTGCCTATAAAATTTTTAAAAACTCCAACTATTATAAGACCTTTTTAAATATTAGTTTACATTAAAGGAGGCATTATCTTTCTGTAACCACAGAGAGGGCCCTAGAAGTTTGACAAGCACTTGCCATTTCTATGTTCTCTCTCTCTCTCTCTCTCTATATATATATATATTTTTTTATATATAATATATATATTATATATATTATATATATATTTTATATATATATAATCTATTTATCTATCCCAGGACCTCACACATACTAAGGACACATTTGCTACTGAGCTACACTCTGAACCTTTCAATATACTTTTAAAAGCATTAGTTACCTTGTTAACACAAACTCTGTTTTCCTGTCTGAGTTTTAGCTTTGACATTTTGATAACTAATTGAGAACTACTCAGATCAGTTTTCTGGTTCACTCTAATTCAGTAATTTCATTCCAGTTAGCTTTCCTCATTTTTACTAACTGATATCACAAAGGGAGACAACCCTCTTATATTTATTTTTAAATATTCAAAATAAAACAAAATGGATTCTTAAAAAAAAATGTGTGATTCCAAAATCATTTCAATTCTTCTGCAAATCTAGTTTATCTTTTTATTGACTAATACTTCTTTTCTTTTCCTTTTGATGATAATTTCAGAAAATAATTCTGAAATATTGCAGGCATAGTACAAAGAACATTTTTTTAAACTGAGTAGTTTGAGAGTAATTCGCTGACATGATATGCCATTACCCTTGAATACCTTAGTATTTAATTTTTTATTACATTACAACCATTGAAATAAGGAAATTAATCTTAATACATTATCTTTTTTTTTTGGTACCAAGGATCAAACTTGGGACCTTGTGCTTTCAAGGCAGGTGGCAGAACCATTGAGCTAAATCCCCGGCCCACATTATTATCATTTAATTTCAGACCTCATTCAAGTTTTACCAGTTGCCCCAGTAATGTCTTTTATAGCCAAAGGATTCAGCTTAGAATCACACACTGTGTTTATTTATCATGTGTTCTTAGTGTTCCACAGCCCTCTGACTTCCTTAATTCTGACTATTTTCAAGATTATAGACCCCTAATTTTGTTGAATAACTCCCTTTGTGGATTTGTCTGATGTTTCCCAGTGTTTAGAATCAAATTATGCATCATTGGCAGAGAGAACACAGATGTGAAGCTGAGTTCTTCCTGTTGCATTCTATCTAGTAATGTTAAATTGATGACTTGATGAAGGTGGCATGGCAGACAGTTTTAAGACTGCCCTGCAATCTTGGCTCATGGTGTTTCTGCTCCAAACGCACATTGCAGTTTGTTCACACAGAACACTGTCACTGTCCTCTGAGTCTTTCCTTGAGTTTTTTACCATTGAAGAGTAGAATGGAGACAGGGACCTGATAGGTAATTTTTCTTAACCTCTCTTACTCTGCTGTCTGAGGCAGGAGCAGGCCATCATGACTCTGTAGGAGGACACCTGGTGCTGGCTACTAGGAGGACTGAGCAAGGGGCCAGGCAGGGCTGGCAGCTGAATGAGTCAACATAGGAGTCCGTGTCAAGGTTCAGTCCTTGGTTCACCAGGGGAGGGGAACCTGTTAGAATTCTTAGTGGAGGCAATGGTTTTCTGGTTTTTTTTTGTTTTTTTTTTTTCAGGTACTGGGGATTGAACTCAGGACCTTGTGCTTACAAGGCAGGCTCAGTGCCACTGAGCCCCTGGCCCAAGGTAATGGTTTTGAAAAAGAAATGAACTGGGTAGAATTTTAGCATTTAAGTTTGTAAAGTGAGGGGGCAGACCCTCATTATGTTATTCTCTATATATTTCTATTTAATTGGGACATTTCATAAAAGGAAATATTACAGAAGAAAATAAAAGCTTCAGATTAATGGCAATAGAAAGCATTTTTATTGTTTAGTCTCTCCTGTTTTTCAGCCAACCCTACTGGGATGCTTCTCTGTCACTGAACAGTGGTACCTTTGTGGGTTTCACAGGCTCTGCCACCGCCAGCATTGACTCCTTGGTGTGACAGCTTGTTAAGGGCAATGTGGGAGACCAAGAATGGGAGAGTAGAGAAAGGAAGGAGAGGGGCCGGGAGCAGAAAGCAGACAAGTCACCTTGAGCTCTCCCGGGGCCACCTATTTTTCAAACTTGGTCAGCCACTTACTACCTGGGTGGCCTTGAGCAAATTCCCTGGCCTCCCTATGCTTCCATTTCCTCTTCTGTAAAATGTGAGTGATAAGGGTTGGATTCAATGAATCCGCCCATGGGAAAAGCACTTCAAAGTGTTTTGGTGCATAATAAACTCAGAACTTGTTGGTTAATGTTATTATTTTTTATTATTTTTATCATTGTATCCTCAATGTTAGCAGAGTTCGTGACATTTAACAAACATTTGGACAGATCAGAGAAGTGAAACAAAGTTGTCATTTGAATCACACTTTGCAGTGATATCTGCTCCTTATTGAACAGAGGCTCTAAATACATCACTACCTAGAATCTGATTGCAACAAGACCAGGTGAAGCATGGGTACAGAAAACCTTGGCTGAAACAGGGCTCACAGGAAGCGAGTTCCACAGCAGTGAGAAGGCAGCATCCTTCTGGTCATCTCATGTGATTTAGCTTCAATATTCGGCATTGAAAGGATACTCCTCCAAACAAGATGTGCTGCAAAATCAGGGAGAGACAAAATGCCAGACAAATGCAACACTGTGGTCTACTAGGCACCCTTCTCCGATGCACACTGCCATCTTTATGCTCCTTCAGCCCTCTTCCCCCACTTCAAGACTTTGTGAGTTCACAAGAAGGAACTCACTCCCTGACCTTCCCTCCACTTGGTGGGAAGGATGTTTGAGAAAGGAGAGTAGGCGACTAAGTAGTGACCATGGCACCAAAATAAGCTCTTAATACTGAGAAACAGCCCTGCAATTGATGCTTGGTTATTCTTGTGGATAATGAATACAGGCAAAAGGCATAGGATCCCTGTATCGTCTACACCCACAGAAGTTTATTCCTGAGCTCACTGATCCAAGATTATTAAACTATGCAACATTTTCTCCTAGATATCCAGCAGTCATCACAAGCATGTCTCAAGCCAAACCCCTGATTTCTTTTCCTCGATAGCAATTCCATTCTTGTGTTATGCAGGCAAAAGCAAAACCAAACACACACAAACCCAAAGTCATCATTGACTGCAAATTTGTCAGCAAATTCAATTGGCTCTATTTCCCCAGTGTGTCAAGAATCTTGTCATTCCACATCTCATCCAATTCTCCACCCAGGTCTGCTCACTCTCATCTCCTGCGTCAGCATAATAGCCTTCCTGTAGTCTCTCAATCAGAAGTCAGTGTGGTTCTTTAAGAACATAAGTCAGGGCCAGGGATTTAGCTCAGTGGTGCCACCGCCTGCCCCACAAGCACAAGGACCCGAGTTTGATCCCCAGAACCAAAAAAAAAAAAAAAAAAAGAACATAAGTAAGTATGTCCTCACTCGGTTCAGAAGCCTTTGATGACTTCTAAGCTAATTCAGAGCTAAAATTAAAGTTTCTCGCATGATCTGCACCATTCTGCATACTCTAAGCCTTTGACACTGCTCTCTGATGTCTCATTTCTTCTGAATATTGTCCTTGTTCATTCTGCTCCAGCCTCATTAGCCACCTCACTCAAAGGCTCTAGACACTCCACGTCAGGGCTTTTGCCCTGCCTGCTATCACTACCAAGAATGTTCTTCCCATAGAGAGCCACAGAGCACATTACTCATTTCCTTGGGGCCTCTGCTCAACTGACAGTTTAGTATCAAAACCTCTCCCAGCCCAAGCCAGCCCATACAGCTTATCGGTTTTACCAGGCCTCACTACTTCCTATCTTCTTCCTATTGCTCTCATTTTATTTTTCTGCCCAATATTTGTTATTATTTCACATATATTTTGAGGTATATGTTCCCCCCCTAGAACGTAAGTGTGTGAAAGCAGGAACTTTGTATAATGTGATATCCCAAGCTCCTACAGAGTGCCCAGCACATAGCAGATTAATAATAAATTATTGAGGGAATGAATGAATGCTTTTGCCTCCCACATAATGTTCCAGCTCTACCCCCAGAAGTTCAACAGACAGCATTTAAGGAAGTGTCTTTCCTTAGAACAATTCCCCTAGGACTCCAACATTCATTTTCAAAACAGCCAGAAAATAGTATTTGAAGAAAAAAGCCAGATGTCTTCCAGTCCTTCTAGCTAACCCTGCATTACTATGGAAAGATCCCCTGTGACCCTCCTGCTTCATCCCGAGCCACATACCCAGGTATAACACAGGACCTCCAGTTTCTGTTGAAGCTAAGGATGGCCACCATCTCCTCATCACTCAACTTGAAGTCAAAGACCTGGAAAGGTGAGTTCAAAAACATCCTTGGCAATGCATTTCCTGGTTGGAATTGTGCCATTTGGGTAGGGAGTGAACTTCCATTCACAGCATGGACAGGCTTTTCTTCCATGTGTCCACTGTATAAAAAAAGGTCTCTCAAGAACGTCCTGTACAAGATGGTGTCACCTCCCAGCATTGTTGATAGATCATATGCTCCTCCCCCCTTGTCAATTCCTAGGCTAACGGAGCTGAGATGAATGACTTGCAGGTCAGTAATAGAGGTCTAGTACTCTGGGACTTAGTGTTCCAACAGGAGGGAGACCAGCTGTGTAGGCATTAAACTTCAGTGTGCACAATGCCTATGTTTCCTAAGGGCTACATGGATTCTTCCAGAAGGACTGTTCTTTAAGTATAGCCCCTTTGTCTTCTGCTGCTGGGAGGAGGATCTGTAATCAGCACAGTCTGCTCTTTTGTGTGGCCTATGACCTAACTGCTCAAAGGCAACCCAGGGTCTTCTCAGTGTTATGAGACACTGCTGTGCTCACATCTGACAGGGCTTCTCTGCTCACTGCTGCCAGCACATCCTCAGGCCAGTGTCCATATTCCTTAGCACTTCTGAGGGCAGTTCCCTGGCCAAAGAGCTGACAACATGAGGTAAAGAGGGCAAGACCTACCCATGGACAACACAGGAATGGGCTAAGCAACCCTGTCCTCTACTCCCATGGGGAACACCAGATGACCAGCCAGGATCTTACTTGAAAGTTTTCCATAATGTGTGTAGGGGTGGCAGACTTGGGAATCACTGCCACATTCCTCTGGATATGGAACCGGATCAGAACCTGTGTGGAAAGGGGACACTGTGTTTCCATTCCTGTACAAGGACCCCTCCTAATGAGAGGAAAACTAAACTATCTCTGTAGCTCACTGTGGTGTTAGGTACAATAGCTAATAGTGACTAAGCACTTCACTGTTAGAGACACTACACTTGCCACCTCCTCTTATCTCCTCTAAACTGAGCTTCAACTCTATGATTTTTCTGTTTTAGGAATGAGAGAGGTGGCTTAGAATCATAAAGCTGAGACATGGTACAATTGGCACCAGGACCCAGATCCCTGTCTTGTGGCTTCCTGTAGATCTTGGCAGAAAGCTGACAGACAGAGGCTGTCCTGCTTCACTGATACACCTTCCGTTTCCTGGAAATCCCAACTGATTTCAAGAAAGCACTTTAGTTAGCTTCACTTCATTGTTTTTCCCCTCCAAGGATTAAGAAAATGAAGATAACACAAGGAATAAAACACAAAATTGATAAAATTTATTGCTGGATTAAAAAAAAAACATGATGTACCTGGGCTGTGGTTTTTTTGTGCTTCGAAGCGATCTCCTTAATCTTAGGATCTTCCAGCAGTGAAGGGTCCTCTGGCTTGGCCCTAGAGGCAGACAGATGGTGGGGTGAGTAATCACCATGGTCACTAAAAGAAACTCACTCCAATGACAGTCTCATAAGACCTGAGAGCTATGTGGCCCTCCTATGGGGAGGTCCATGGGCACAGGAGTCTCAGCATTTTATAAAGCCTGGTCTAGCAGGAGGGTCAAAACTGGAGCGTTCTCAGAGGCTTAGGTATGTTGTCTTTCTCTTTTGAAAACTGCCATTTTTCCCACTGTAATCCTATCTGGGTGTGCCAAGTACACTGACTTAGACAATGTTTTCCTTTCTGCTGCCTCACTAATTCAATATTAACCAGTTGCTAAATAATATTTTAAGTATCAGGAGCAAGAAGCACCAATGAGAAGCCTCACCACGGTCTATCTGGAGAGCCCAGAGGGCTGTAGGCAGTGACAGTGATGCCCTTGGAGTGGCAGTACTGGATCAGTTTGTCCTGGGTGAGGTATGGGTGACACTCCACCTGCAAGAGTGAACAATCTGCATTAGTAGGAGGTGGTCTGCTTTTTGGGTGGTTCCAAGGGAGTTCTACATGGAAAAAAGACAACCAAGTGCAGACCAAACACTGCCCATTGACTGACTTGCTAAATTAGACCTGGAGATCTGTCTTACACTTCCCTAAAGCATTGTGATCACCGAGCCCACACTTGGTGAGACTCAGTACCCCGCCCTGAACTTGACTCCAAGCACTTCAGTATTTACCATACAGCATTCACCTGGTTAGTCACTGGTTTATATTTCAGTCCAGGCTTGTTCAAGAGCTTTTCGATCTGGAAGTGGTTGAAGTTGGAGACACCAAGGGCTTTCACCAATCCCTCATCCACCAGCTCCTCCATGACCTGTCATAGAAAGGAAAACCTTCTAGAAAGCCTTGGAGGAGACTACAGAGACACTGGCTTGACTTAGTGCTCTCTGAGGAAGGAGAAATGGATCAAAGATCCCCTGCAGAAGAATTGGCTAAAGCCTTAAAACGAAGCTTCAATGCAATTAGTAGCTGCCCAGTGATTGGCTCTAACCCTACCCTGCCTTCTGAGCCCCCAGGACAAATGCCCGCAGGAGTGAAAAGTAGAGGTTGTAGGTGCTTGCCACTCTCAGTGATCTGGATTGGCCAGAAAAGAGGCTGGAGCCTGTGAACAGCCTTCATCCGTTGGGCTTCTGAATCACTCTGTCCTAGGCCAAGCATATTTTTGTTTGGAGCAGGGTTAGATAATGCAGCTAGACTGTGTCCTAAAAAGGGAGTGCATGGAGCTGAGATTGGTCCTGCTTGCCACATGTCCAGTTAAAACTGTGAGAACTGCCTATCCCCAAGGAAAGGTATCTTTTTATAATTTTTTAGCCTCTAATAGGGATGTTCTAAATGTGCCCAAAGAGACCATGTCTGGTAGCAGCAGTCCAAAATTCATCATATGTTTATTATTTATTTATTGTATACCTAGTTGCTGTCCAGGAATGATCAGCATACAAAAGTATATAATGTGCTTCTAGCTTCTGAGATTCTTTTACTTCAGTTCAAGTGCTAAGGTCCCTCTCAAAAGTGCAGTCAGCCATACTGCTGAAGCTGCTTCAGAGGATCTGACATGAGAACCAGGGGAGGCAAAGAAGGTCTGGATTCATATCCAACACAGGGGAAACTTTACAAGTGGAGTATCAATGGGGCTTTGAAAACATTATGGAGAATAAATGGAAAACACAAATGGGTTGGGAGGAAGGAGCCACGGCTTGGAGGCAGTGTGTGTTCAGGACAATTTACCCAGTGCTTCCCAATGGTGGCTGCAACTTGGAAGCTCCTGAGAGATTTAAAACAGCCTGGTGGCCCAGTGCCACTCTGAGACCTCTTACTGCCTTTGCATGGGATGCAACGTAGGCACCAGGATCTTTCAAACTCCTCTGGTGATGTCAATGCACAGCCACAGTCAAGGACCACTAGGGTTGATGAGGAAGGACATTAGGTGAAAGAGTTTAGAATTGCTGAGATCAGGACTCCGTGGAGGTCAATGAGATAATATAAATGTTTTCCTGTATCATGGATCAAGTTTGGTTTGCATGTTTCATTCATCTTGACTTCCTCCTCCCCCTACCCCTTTTTCTCCGGTGTACTCAGTGAGGTTTCTATTGAATTGGTTGTGGGTCCCCTGAAGCATTCAATGATGACATAGTCAATCCTACATGGCTCCAATCATAGCCTTTGCCTTGATCATATCTTTAAAGTGTTTTATTAGCAATCATTCTTGTATTAGTTCAGAGGATCTACCTCAGCAGGTAGATTTTACAGAGGACTATGGCATAACTGCCACACTTAGAAGAGAATCATCACAAAAGGAAAACAAAAATCTGGTGCAATAAACATTGGACACAATGGGGTCTGGGGATTTAGCTTAGTGGTTCCGGCCCCTGCCTCGAAAGTGCAAGGTCCTGAGTTTGATCCCTGGTACCAAAAAAAAAAAAAAAACAACCCTAAAAAAACAATAAACATTGGACACAGGCTAGTTTCCACACCTCAGAATGATTACTTAGATATTTAAGAGCTTCTGTTGTGGGTAATATATATGACAGAGCCTTCCTCTCAACCTAACGCACTCAATTTAATAGAAAAATGAAGGCTGACATCTGAGGCTATGTTGAAAGTCTTGTTATAATTTTCACTGTTGATTACTTTCACTTAAACCATTGCATTATTTATAAAACCATCAATCCAGAAATTTTCCTCTAACAAAGAAGTGGTTCACTATGGGAAAACATATATGCTTATGTGTGTCTACAGTTTATTTCTAGAATTCAATCTGTTTTCTTTTTCTTTTTTGCTGTACTGAGGATTGGACCCAGGGCCTAGGCCTTGTAGGTGAGCTTTCTATCACTGAGCTACATGCCAAGCCCTTTTTTATTTTTATTCAGAGACAGGAGATAGGGTCTCGCCAAACTGTCCAGGCGAGGCTTAAACCTGTAATCTTTTTGCTCCAGACTTCTGAGTAGCTGGATTTAAGATCTTCTAGTTTCTTTTTATAGCTATTATTTTTCCATTTGCAAAGAAAAAGTAATATCATTTTCATGAAGTATAAGGCTTAATATATTTATTTTTGTGACTATTTCAAACAAATATTTAGACTATTTTTTAATGCTTTGTGTGTTCATAAAAGGAAAAAGAATATGTAAATCTAAAATAAAAACCTAGCATTTTCCAATTTGTAATTTGAACCCTTTCAACTAGATCACAGCTTGTACATTCATGGTGTTCTGCCACTTTCTATATATTGAAAGTACAGGGCTGAGGATTTAGCTCAGTGATTCTGCCACCTGCCTCACAAGTGCAAGGACCCAAGTTCAATCACTGGTACAAAAAACAATTTTAAAAAAGAGAACATGCATGCTGAGGAGGAGCCTTCTGGGCTGCAGTACCACTGCCCCCAGTGCCGAGGAGCAGAGCTGCTCCCAGCACTGAGGAGGTGAACCACGCGCACACACTCCCCTGCACACCCCCACCATTGAAATGAGAAGACTTAAACAAATTTCAAAACCAGACTTTGAGATCACCTAAAGCAACCCCAAAAGGAAACAAGATGGAACAATCTGACACTCAACCACCTGGACTCCCTGAACTGGCAACGAAAGAGGATCTGGAAAAAATGAAATAAGAAATAATTTCTCAGATAACAGCAGAGATTGTGCCCACAGTGCAAGACATGATCAATAAATCTAGAGAGGACACAGGAAAAAAAAATAGAGGAACTGAGGAACATGATGGAATCCCAACATAGGAAACAAATGGAATCCATAAAACAGGTGCAAACACATTTCCAGGAGATTAAAAACTCTATTGAAAGTTTACGGAGCAGAATGAACTAGTGTGAGGACAGAATTTCAGATATAGGAGATAAGATGGCAATTATTGACCAGGAAAAGAAAAATTTCTTTAAAATAGTAAGGGACTATGAGAAATCAAACCAGCAGCTGCTAGATGATGCAAAGAAGAATAACATAAGACTGATTGGAGTCAATGAAGAAAAAGGAGAGAGTGCAGATGACATAAAAAAAATTCAGAAAAGTGGTGGCAGAAAACTTCCCAAGCAGGGGAAAAGAACTTGACATACAGATAAGTGAGGCATATAGGACTCCAAATAGCCTTGATCAAAAAAAAATGTACACATAGGCATATAATAGTTAGGATTCCAGAAATCCAACAGAAGAACAAAATTCTACAAGCAGTTAGAGAAAAGAAACAAATCACACACAAAGGAAAGCCCATCAGAATCACAGCAGACTTCTCAAAACAAGCCCTCAACTCAAGAGGAGCCTGGAGTGAAGTATTTCAAGCCCTAAAAGAAAACAACCTCCAACCCAGATTGTTGTACACAGAAAAACTATCATTCAAAATTGATGGAGAAATGAGATACTTTCATGACAAAGGGCACCTTAGGAACTTCATGAATACCAAACCAGCACTCCAAAAAATTTTAAAGAATATCCTAGGAAAACACAATGTGGATCACAACCCCAGGAAGCCCAGCAGAAGGAATCCATCAGGAAAGGGGGAGAATCCAACAAAAAGAAAAAGTCATGACAATGATAAGTCAATATGTATCAGTTATTACCATCAATGTTAACAGTCTCAACTCACCAATCAAAAGAAACAGACTGACAGAATGGGTCAAGAAGCAAGATCCAACACTATACTGCATACAAGAAACACACTTAATTCAAAGAGAAACTCACAGACTGAAAGTGAAAGGGTAGAAATCAATACTCCATGCAACAGGAACACACGAAAAAGCAGGAGTAGCTATCCTCTTTGCAGATCAAGTGGAATTTAAACCAACACTGATTAAGAGAGACAAAGGACACCACATCCTTATAAAGGTAACAATCCAAGAGGAAGAGATGACAAACATAAATATCTATGCACCAAACACTAGTGCACCCAACTGTATAAAGCAAATACTAACACACAAGAAAAATCATAGAAGCACTAATACAATAGTAGTGAGGGACCTCAATATTCCACTGTCACAAGTAGATAGATCAACTAGAAAAAAATAAGCAACGAAATAATAGAACTCAATCAAACTTTTGAACAAATGAACTTAACAGATGTTTACAGAGTGTTCCACCCCACAAAATCAGAACACACATTCTTTTCAGCTGCACATGGGTCGTTCTCCAAAATAGACCACATGCTTGCTCATAGAACATATTTAGGTAAGTGTAAAGGAATTGAAGTTATCCCCTGTGTATTATCAGACCATAAGGTGATGAAATTTGAGATCAATGGCAAAAGAAACCACAAGAATTTCATAAACACATGGAAATTGAACAACACACTTCTGAATAACCAATGGGTCACAGAGGAAATTAAAGAAGAAGTC